AAAAAATGATGGATGATTACAGAGAAGCGATATAATATTCACTGTGACTCTTTCGAACCAAAAAAATACGACGCATGATTCTTGAAACAGCATTTTTGAATGATTTGTCAGTCCAACTTCGAATTCTTTCTAACCAAATATTACTAAAAACAGCCCTCCAGAGAAAATATGGCACAAGTATCATCTTCGTCGAAGAATTTATTTTAAACTTCCATGAATTGAAAAAAGTGCTAAAATGTAGCACTGAAACGTGCACAAAAGAAGAATCTTTTTTTGAGGTCAGCTAAATGCCGTGACGTGTGCTATTTCCCTTTTTATACAGAGAGACTCATTTTCATACAGCACACACACAGTTGATACGTCAGCCTTTCTTACTCATGACCATTGTCAGCCTCGAGGGGTTTCTACAACATAAAAAAAAATATTTGGTCGCAGACGAGGCTCGAGGGCCATCGTATTGTGTGTGCTAAAAATGAGGGTGATGACGATGATGATGATGTTTTCTCCTCGGACTTGAGACTGATTGTATTCGAATCCCTGCTGATGATGCCAGCTTCATTTGTGATTCCGTGGCGTGATTTATCCATCGAATTCTTCCTCTTCCTTCACGTTTAGGTGCCGAGGATGATAAAGGGAGAGGAAGACAAGTTTAATGTACGTTTCGTTGCGAAGGATGAAAAAAAAACGTTGGCTTTATCGAAAATTTCCTTTGCGGGCGTTCGGAAAGTTTAGCTATATTTCATGATTGAATGTTTTTGATTTTTCGAAGTCGGAGCGTGAGACATTCGTGCTGGTTCTCGTTTTTGAAAGTGGAAAGAAACATTAAAATGTTTGTGCTTCCAATGAATATAAATGAAGAACCTGCCATGATCAATAATTTTGAAGAATAGAAAAAAAATACACGAGAGGAACTGTATTTCATTTAAACTTGAGAATTTAAAAGCTTTCGTCATCCGGATTGATGACAGGTCTACCCTTTCAAGATAAGCGAGCTAGTTTCACGGATGACTGAATATTTTAAAGACCAATTCAAATATACAAGTTGAACCTCTGTAAGTTGAACTTCTAGGGAACAGGAAAAAAAGTCGATTTAGGGAGGTTTTGATTTTTGGAGGTTTCCAGTTGAGGAAACAAACAGTTTTGTTGTGAAGAGAAGTGAAAAAAGTGTGGGAAATCACAAATGAGGATATTCTGGGCCTAAACTTGCTTCTTAATGATTTTACACCTTGCTGAATTTGGAAGCAGGGGTTCATTTGGTAGATTAGTCTTTCACTCCCTTTCAAGATGCATCAAATTGTTTGTTTTAATGATTTCCTCTTTCATATTTCAAGGAAATAATAATCAGAAGGCCTCAGAAAATTCTACTTACAGAGGTTATAGAGATAAAGACTTCGAGTTAGGGAGCTTTTTAAGGCATTTATTCTAAGGAAATTCAGACAGGGACTTGAAAAAATTTGACTTAGAGAGGAATTTGACTTTGGGAGGTTTGACTTACCAAGGTTCACCTGTACATATGCTGCATTAAAAAAACCTTGCACAACATTACCGATTTTCCAGAAAATCCCCGAATAAACCAGCGTAGGAGGTTATAAAATCTATCAAGGATAATCAAACGTCAAAGAGTTCAATCATATTAAGAGAAAAGTATTTTTTAGGTGAAGCTCATCTATAAATATTGAGTGATGGTGTTAATCTTCCTTGTACTCCAGTCGACGGAGTGGTTTGAAATGAATTTTGAGTCTTTCATCGTTCAACTTTAGTCATGTGATACCCTCATTTGTTATGCGAACACTGGCCAATCTTTCAATTTAATAAAATTTTCGAGTTACATTACTCATATTTTGTTAAATGTTTCATGGGAATTATTGTAAAATGGGATAAAACATGGTAAACGTTGTTTACTAATCATCTTGAGTGCCGCTTCAGGTCTCATGTTGATTATAAATACAGCAATGAGTCAATTATGGAAGAGATAAAGAATGAAACAATTCAGGAAAATCAAGAAGTACAAAAGCTATTAAATACTACGTCATTAACAATTTTTACTTATCCTCCCAAAGCAATAACTTAAAAGAAAAAATTCGTTTAATCTGGGCCATTAAAAAATGTTTGATCAAAATACGGTACGGACTTCGCATTCAAATTCTTTAAGCAGTCAATGAAAATTATTCAAGTCATATTTTAAATCAAATTCAACCTGGATTACTTTTTAGGAACATCAAAAAGTACCGTACTATCCCGCCTCAATTCCAGCTTTTCTTTATACGCAACATCTCGCGCACCATCAGACGTGGTCCCTTATTGTACCACTCATGGTACCCGGTTGGAAAAAAAAAGCCCTGCACGGTAAACGACGGCTGCATGGAGGGGATATAAACGAAACAAAACAAAATTAGGCGTCTCTCAGGTTCCCCGGGGACCATTGGAATTTATTCCCAGGCACGGGCAGATGATTATTCCGGAACCGGGTCACAAGACAGTGCAACACACTGCTAGAGGCTGACGGTTCCTCGCCCGGGGCCACGAATCCCCCGACCCGCGCCACGAGAGAAGCCGAGCCTAAAACGCGCCGGTGCAAGCAAGTGGATGGACATGCGAACCCGTTGTTTCGTCGTCTTCCTTCCCTTCCTTCCTTTGGACCCAGCTTCCCTCATATTGCGTCTGGTTCTCGGGTTACCAGCAGTTCCCTGTTGCCGCTGGCAGTGCCCCCTTTTCGGGGTTCCCACCTCGGCATGGGCCTGCTTGATGATGGTCGGGAACGGGCATTTGAATATATAGATCAGAGAGCGTCTAGCTTTTTTGATTCATCCTGAAGCGTGATCAGCAGGAAGAATAACATTTTTAGCGGCGATGGAAATCCAAAGTATTTTTCGATTCACCAGCAGTCATTCGTAAAAGCCAGTTTCTATAGAACAAACTGGCAAATGTTCGTCGAAGAAGGGGTTAATTATATGCAAAATAGCGAAAAAAAATAGAAGCGTGATCGCTCATTTGTTTATTGCTTATTGCTAAATTATTCAAGAGCTCTTGCGTAAAATAATTCAAGCGATGAAATTCGGTAGATCATCATCGCTTGAACGGTGATTTTCGTCTGGGAAAGACGAATTTTTCAGTCACTTGACATTGAAAACATTCATAAAAGAAGAAATATAACGAAGTGCATAAAAGCAAAAGTTGGTTTCTTTGAAAGCTATATTGGAATATGCAATACAGCCAGAAGCCGGACAGTATTGTCAGGTATACAATACTGTACTAATATTCAGTCTCAAAATAGGTTCAGTACTAATTAAAGTGCATTTAATTTTCCATTCATTATGCCTTGATCACTTTGCTAAAATAGCCACAGTGAAATGATTTCCGATGAATTATCGAAAATGTTCCTCAGGTTCGATATGGAACAGGTTCTCAAGAAATAATGTATTGACCGGATGAGGCGTTTCCACTTGGTCTTCCTCAAGGAAGCTTTCAAAATTTGAATTTTACTGGATGATATCGCAGAAATTAAGAGTTTGAAATAAAGTTTAAGCTGTAAATTTAAAATTCTACAAAAGAAGGATCGTGGAAATGCATATTCGTTGTTCTTTCCGGAAATAATATGCCCGCATGGTGCTTGTCTGCCGGTCAGATATAAGGTTGAATGATTCAAGCGGTTGACAATAGCAGCTTTTTTCGCGTGAATAAAGTTTTCAACTGACTTGACTTTAAAATAGTTTCAGTCGAGTAATACATTATATAATATTCATTAAGCGTGAGAGCGGCACTCAAGTTCCGAAATAAATTAAAAATCTAATTAAATATCAATTAAAAACGGAAACCCAGTGAAAGCAATTGACATTTTCATTAAAAAAAAAACTAAATTTCATCGTCACTCCGAATACGCGTAAGATGGGAAGGAAAAGAGCGCAAAAATTGCGCCTGGCACATTCTATAGGTGGAAAGGAAGTTTTTTTCTCCACCCACTTGGTCAAAATCGCGTAAAGCAAGCAAGAAACGTCCTTTTTTTTTAAGGAAACGGCTCCATTTTCATCGCCTTTCTATCGCGGGAGATTTTTTTCTTGTCTCTATCCGAAATTCGCAGTTTATCCGGCATTTCCCCCCCTTCCGTATCCTTCTTTAGAAAGAAAAAAAAACTGGGTTTTCGTCGGTATCTTGATAAAAGTGTGGCAAAGACAGCCGCGCCCACGGAAAAGGCGATCGATTAGCCGGCAATGACTCGGCAACAATCCTCGCCCCGCAGATCAAACACTCTCGAACACAACATTCCCGAGGAGAAATCACGCGGAAATAATCCTTGAGAAAACTCGAACGCTGCTCAAACTTTCACGCCTGCTTCAAATTTCCATAAATTTCCTCACTAAAAAAAACGAGGACGAAGAGTCATTTCTCGTCATTTCCACGAATCAACGAGAAAGGTAGGAGGAAGAAAATGCAGACGAAGTTCTAGTACAGCAGCACCATATTCTTCAAATTTGCATCAACATCATCTCGTCGAAGAGGTAACTTTCAATAAGAGAGCGAGCTTATTTTCAGCTGACAACTAAAGTCACCAAGATCGCCGTTATTTATAATTATAAATAAGTTGTAAGTTTTTTTATAATTGCTGCTGGAATCGGTCGCTTTGAAAATATATATATAAATAAGGCTCCCTCTCTTGATTTAAAATTAATGCTCAGAGCGACTGAATCCACAATTTCCAACCCTTGGTTTCAAGCTCGAATACAAAATATCCTGGCTTCCTTCGGAACTTGTTGGCGAATAGTTTTCCATTTATAGTATAATAATCGTTTCCCCCTTTTTTTTGGTCCACACATATTTTTATGGTCCACGTTAGGGAAAAATAACCTCTGAATAGTTAGAAAAATATAAAAAGGAAGCAATGATTGTTCCAGGTTCGAACAATTAAATGGGGAATGAGACGGCGGTGGAATTCTGAATTTTTCCTTCGAGAAATTCGACGAAATACCTATGAAATCTGACAAACCGCAGAAGAAAGACCGAATATCCATGACGCCCCGACGAAAAGTACTGTGTCGGAAATCGCCCTCAGCCGAACGCGACCATCAACGTAGGATCATTATAAAAAAAATGGCAAAAAATGAGTCATTTCCTATTTAAAAAAAATTAACTCCCATGGTGGAGCAAGAGGCATTTCCTAGCATTTACGTTCTTCCAAATGTGTGAGGAAAAAATTTTATAGACAAAAAGCGCATTCCCAATGAAAAAATAATAAAAGATTCGAAGGGGGTTGAGGAGGTTCACCGAATATTTGCAATTTTGGCGGGGCATGAATTAGTCACTTCCTTGAACATTACTTGATATCTTGGCGATAAATGCTCATTATAATTGATCAATTTTAAAACTTTCGAATCTTCAACTGTGCCTTTTATTTATTAGCGTATTTCAGAGAGACAAAGAGAGAGAGGGAGAGTCCCTTCGATTTTATCAATTCCCCTTTTTCATGCAATCAAAGTAATCTTTTTCGTCTCAGTTCTACACTTCATCCTTCATTGAAAAATCTTTCCTTTTTGTTTTCATTAGCTGATGAACCCAAGAGTCAAAATCATGTTTCTATATATCGTTCCAGTGATCATGAGATCGAGAATTTATGTTTGACGTACAATTTTACGCATGTAACATAAAATAGAGTTCAAGACTCATACTTATCAATGTAAATAAGTTCTTGGCTCTACGTTCAATTAGATCGCTTTCCGATTGAAATACTGGTCAACTCTTTCCACAACGAAATTAAAGGGACCAGAAAAAGTTCGTTGTGAAATTTCGGTGTATAAAATACTTATAACGTAAGAAGATAACCCAATGGGACCAACATTCTTCTTTAAACAGCGAAAATCGTCGCTAAGAGAGGCCATCTTCATTCGGAATTCGCCGCAGTAAACTTATTTTTTCGCTGGAATCTCGCGCGATAACTGTTGTCGGCATTAGGCATTGAATCCGCCGAATAATTTCTCAATCCCGCGCCATTGTTTTGAAGTAATTCAATCCAAGATGACGGCTGCCGGGTAAAAAAAATAATTCGAAATCAAAGGTGCCGAAAATAGCTGCCGGTCTAGCCCGCGCCGCAATTCTCAGCCGAAAAAAACCCCCCGCGGGGTGGCGGGTTGCCAGCGAGCGACCAGTTGCGAGAACTTGTGCCCCCCCTCTCTCATTCAAGAATACTGTACTCACAACGAACGAAGGAAGTAACGAAAGGCTTTGAAGTTTCAAGAGTGAGAAAAAAGAAAGATAAATAGAAAGAAAATGCAAGTAGCATTAAAATCTAGAGACGGAGCGGAAGTCAAGCACCGTGACGGCGAAAGTGGTGAACCGAAAAAGCCGCGGGCCGCGGATTCGAATCACCCGCGTGGCTTGAATGAGAAGACGTCCGACGCTTGTGATGAAGTCCAGAAATGATTCTTCTTCCTTTTCTCCTTCGTCTTCTGCTTCTTCTTATTCTTCGACTGTATTCTCGTTTCCTATTCAGCATTTGCATGAGGGTATTCGGAAAATTTATGCCGAGCCTGCAGCTCGTAAATCCAAGAAGAAGAAGAAGAAGAAATTTATAATTACAGTACCGTCCTTCCTTGCGTAGAAAACCGGAAATTTCCGATGCTTTCGGAGCTCAAGATCAGAAAACGAAATTCCTCGTGAATTTTAATGTACTATACAGTAGAATTCGGGGGATTACTTTATAAATAAACTGCTCGAACACACTCGTGTTCCATGACGCAACACACAATATACAATAATTTTTTCAGTTTATAAACCAGGCAAGCACGAAATAGAAATGGGCTGAAACACGAAGGATAGTTGAAGCTTTTTTAACGCATTGAAATGAAAATCTTTGCATACCACGATTTCCGAGTCAAAATCCTTCCGAGCAGTTTGTGGTCAAAAACAAGACCACAGTTTATACGCTGAGATCAGACTTTAACACCGAGTTGAGCTGAAAACTCTTTTAAACCAATGTATATTTTATTAAAATCTCGCCATTCATCCCAGAGTGAAACAAAAATTAGAACATCAGATCAGGAAATTTTTTTCATTGTAACATTCTTGGCATAACTCGGAACGTCGCTGTTAATAAGTTTGATTTAATATATAAATTGAAGAACGCATCATACATCTTGTTGGCTTGTAAGTTCAAACAAATCAATAAATAAATGAGATAAGAAGCTTTGTTTCATTACAGTAATGGCGTTTAATCCCAACTATTCTAACAGGATAGTTCAAGTTTGAAAAAGTTTCCTGGCAATGATCAAATGATCAGTAGAAATAATCATCTCCATATTCTGCCATTAAAAAAAAAGAAGAGGCGCAACAAAAAAAAAATATTCATCACGTCGCATGTATATGTATCTCATCTCGCAATTCGAAATGTTGCGAATTTGAGGAATGAAGTGATGGCGAAAAAATGAATCTTGAAGATGAGCATATTAATTTCCTCAAGATACGAATACTATACAGTAAATGCTTATGATTATGAACAATTTGAAGATGGATGATTCATAGTCTCTCATCAGCGCTCGAGAAATTGAAGCATGTGAGCGACAATTCTGAGCAGTTTGTCAACAAAAAAAAAGAAACTCATGAGAAAGATCCCGCATGAAATACAAAAGAACACAACAAAAAAACGGAATTTTCATCGTGCGGCATT